AAAATAATATATAAATAAAAAAACAATTAAAATATTATATTAATAAATATATAATAATTATATAATGTTTATGTAACTTTTCGTATAATAAAAAACACAATGTCACATTACTAGTAATTTTCTAGCCAGACAGCTCAATACAAGCTACAGATAGAATTCCACTTTTCAGCCCACCGTTTTTTCATGAGCCCGCCGTTTTTTCATGATTGAAAAAATGGTGATCTGCGTGTGAGCTTCGGCTAGGGGTGTAAGTGGATCAAATCGATTTGGGCTAGCCTTGATAAATGATTCATGAACCGAATTCGATGAGCTAATGAGTTAAATTTGAGCCAGCCCTGACTGTCTCTTTAGCTCGTGAGCCGACTCATTTAAAAATATTAATATAAAATATATTATAGATATATTAAAATTCAAAATTTTATGTACAAAATTGTTAAAAATACTTAAAAAATATCTGATTTTCTTATATTAAGTGATTATTTCTTATAATTTCTCATTCTTTTTACTACTTTATTATAATTTTTACTTAAATCATAATCATTTTTTATCTTTCATAATAAATGAGCCCATATGTGAGCCGACTCAAACTCATTTAATAAAGCTCGAGCATAACTTGTTTAATAAAGATGGAGCTCAAGCTTTAGCTTGAACTCGAATAATTAATCAAGTTTAAGCTCAAGCCAAGGGTGACTCGAATTCGGCTCAACTCGTTTACACCCTTATGTCGAGGAGAGACCTTATCCAAGTCACCCGTACGGCCTTAGCACCCATTCCTCGAGCTAAGTCAGTATAAAACTCTCACAATGTTTGACAAGAGAGTAAAGAATGCTATAGAGGAAATGAATGGGGGGGAATCTTCACTATTACAAGGGAATTTTATAAGATGGGTTAGAGGGAGTTGGGAGATTTGGGAGATGTGGGAGATGTTTACAAATGATGGGGGAGGGTATTGTTTATAACCCTCATCCCATGTCTAAGAATATTTTATAGTTTCCTAAAAAATACATGAGTGTAGAATTCTCTAGACTACTCTACATCATTCATTATCCTTGCAATACTTTTATTATAATATATTGGAGAGTTCTAGAGTATCCTAGAACATTCTCCAAGTGTCCACACCATTCTAAAATATTTCAGAGAACTCTAGAATCTTCTAAGAAACTCTAGGTCTTTGTAGAACTTTTTAGGACATTCCATAATATTTTGAAATTTTTTGAAGCCTTCTAGAATCTTTCAAAATCTTCTAGAATATTTTGGAACCTTCTATATCTTTTCAGTACCTTCCAATGCAATGCGACTCCATTTAGCAACGGTTTTGAAAGACTTTTGGCCTAAACTCAACCTTTCATGCATGCCCAAGAGATTTGGCCAAACCTCTAGATTCAAAATTTGGCCGTGACAACTAGCTTTGACTATCAACTAAAAGATTTTGGGTTTAAGTATTATGCATGTGATTTGTATGAATTTGATTTAATTAGTCTAAATGTAAAAAAAAAAAAAAAGAGTAATTATAGCTATTACAATCTTTGGCCCCAACAGTAGAAGCTATAAAAATGACAAAAAAATTAGGTGAAAACACATAAAATCTAAAATAATTGTAATGGCCAAGGGGGGAGGAACCTTATAAAAATAAAAGATAATAGGCCTTTTCCAAAGAATAGCAACAGGATTATCTCGCCAGCAAAATATCTCCACTTGCATGATTTCGTACCGTTTGCCAGGAAATTCAGTGAATCCATTCCTAATCCCTCATATTTCTCCTCCCCCACCTCTCGTTACAGTACAAAAGAGCCTGCTTGACATTTAAAACTGCAGAACTTGTTCATATTTCGTTTTTCTTATAATATCTTGATCTATGTATGAAGAAGAGGTTCAGCAAGGAAGGGCTTCTAAGAGGAGAAGAAGTATCAAAAAGGTTTTTTTTTTTTCGATCTCTCATTATTTCTTGAAGCGTTTGGTGTATTATATGAAGGAAAAATATATGGGGGAAATTGTCTTTCGATCTCTCAGTATTTTTTTTTTACCAAAAAAAAAAGTATTTTAATGTTGTGTACGTGTTCGCTTTTGTTTTTTTGTAACCAGTCCTCTTTAATCTGTTGAGGAACATCATTGCAGGTTCTTATTGTTTGTCTGAACGAACATGATTCTTCTGAGTAAGGGTGTTTTTTTTTGGGACTTTTAGACCATTTAAGGCAAACTCACACACACAACGCATACATAAAGACTCAAATCCAAAACCTCTTAGGTGGAAACATAAGCTCTCAACCAATAAACTAAGATGAGCTGTGTCTGAGTAAGGGTGTAAATGGGTTAAATTTATAGTGTTGTTATTTTGTTTGACTATGATTTTGTTTGGAACGATTTTCTTATTGTTTCTTAATCTATATTTTTAGTTAAAAATTTTTGTACTATAAATTATTTTAAGAAGAAATAACAAAGTCATCTTAAACGAAGCCTAAGTTGGATATGTAAATCAGCTAAAATTTTCTATTTGTATTCGACTTGTTAATTTATGAGTTGAACAAAAGCTATTATAAATTTAAATTTTACTTAAAATTTATATATAAATTATAATATATATATATATATATATATAAACATAGAGAGAGATTATAATTATATTTTACGCATTTATAATTATTATGCTGCTGTTTGAAGAAATTAACTTACGTGAATTTTGGTATATATGCTATATTTAAAAGTTTCAGAAAGAAGTTGAAATGGAGAAACGATTAAGGCGAAGTTCATTGAGTCAGATACACAGTGCGGAGCAAAAGAGAAATCAAGCAAATAGGAACAAATCGAAAGCTGTTTCTGCAAGCTACCCTTTCAGTGCACAATCCTTTATGGTACTTTTCTGTGTTACAGTATCTCTACTGATTCTTCCGCTTATGCTGCCTCCATTGCCTCCACCACCTTTAATGCTGCTTTTGATTCCTATAGGCATACTACTTGTTCTGTTGATTCTGGGTTTTATGCCTTCAGATGTTAGGAATATTGCCTCCTCTTATTTGTGGGAGTGAATAAGTAATGTATTTTTGGTTTGATATTAGCGTGAGTGAGTTTCATTAACTGTATGATGTCCTGCTGGTTTTGTTGTTAATCCTTTGGAATGTGTTTATATACAGAAGCTTTCAATGAAAGTTAACAATGAAGTTGAATTCTGAATATATTTGTTTTACTCAGTGTGAGCATGAATTGTGATACGTCATCATAAAATTATCGTGATCGGGCACGAATCTCGAGGCAAAATCAAGCTAGAAACTTCAAAAATTAATTCTGGGATCATATGAACTCCGATTTCAGTAAACTTAATGCCGAACTGATTGTCTCGGAAATACGAACCCAACGACACCAAAATCGACCCAATCTGAACCCAAATGAGTCCAAATCAAGGACCCGAAGTGCTGTTGGAAGGTTCAAACAACAAATTGAGTTATCAAACGGTTTCCAAACATGACGTGCTTATAATTGAATCAAGCGGCTCGACGAGAAGAATCCAACGAACCCAAGATCGCCAAATTCCGATATCATTAAGGCCTTCAAATGCCTAAAGAACGATCCACAATCAAAGGATTCAATATCGGCCGTCCATCCGATCACTCCCTATTTGCCCATGATCTCTCACCTATTTACGGGCCATGCCACTCCAAAAAATTTATAAATAGACCTCTCATTTTTCATGAGAGGGGGCCCAAGCAAGAAGCAAGAGAAGAAGGAGAAGAGAAAAAGGATAGGAGGGAAGAACTCCTCCTCGACCACCGCCGTCAGAATTCTGGCCAAGTGACGCCGGAATTTCGCCCGCCCTCCAAGTGACGCCGGAATTTTACCCGACCTCCAAGTAACACTGGAGTTTCACCCACCCTCCAAGTGACACCGGAATTCTCTCTGAATACCATATAATGTCGGAATTTTCCTCGGCCACTAACTAACGTCGGACTTCTACCCGACGTCGGACCTCCACTCTTCGCCAAATTTCTACCTGACGCTGGACTTCTACCAATTGTCAGACTTTCACTAGATATCTATCTGATGTTGGATTTTTGCCCATTGATGGACTTCTACCAGACGCAGTCCTTCCGACCTTTGTCGCCTACCGACTACGATCCTTCAGACTAATGTCGCCCGCCTACTATAGTCCTTCCAACCTTCGTCGCCCACCGACTACTTTCCTTTTGACTTACGTCGCACACCGACTACAGTCCTTCAGACCATACAAGCACATCAACAGTGATGCTTTATATTCTCACCATGTAATGTACTTTATAATAAGATGTACATCAAGCTAAGGCCTTAATTCCCCCGATGAAGGATCTCATTTGTAATCAACTACAATACTAATGGATTCATTTATACTGGGCAAGGTTCCGTGGTTTTTCCCCC